CCGAGGGCAGATGGGGAGGCGAGGTTGAGGCTGCCGAGACAGACAGGCATGGCGGACAGGTCAAGACTGGACGCATCCTCAGCACTGCCGTTGGGAGTCATGTGCGTGAGGGTGGGTAGAGGGAGTGACGGTGAATTGGCATGTGCGACCGACCTCTTGTCAACATGCGGCGTCGATGTGGCTTGATAAAGTCCGGGCAAACGGGCGTCTGCCGAGGGTTGTGTCGGAGAGAGACAGACTTGCGGCATTTTGCCCGAGGGCAAAAAGGCACCAGCCACTGAGTGAGCGCTGCTGGGGCAAGACAGACTCCGGAGGCCTAAATAGAACAGTGACACACAAACAGAAAATAAAGAGTGACTTTGTTGAATCAACATGGAGAAATGAAAAAATATATATATACACATGTCATATAACTTATTTACTGGTAATCTCGAAGCTCTACTTATATACGAAAATAAGTAATGTAGTCGATTTTCATAGCAAAAATACGTCTGCTTCATCGACAATCCCACCAAAGAATGGGAATAGGTCTGGCATTCCTTGAAATGCATATCTTCCTGGCGGAGTGGTTAACGTATCAATCTCTCATGCTGCATCGTCACGGTTCGACTCCCGCTGGTGTTGACATACGAGGTCGAAACTACAGTCCACTGATGCATGGATGAGAACAAATTTTGGTAAAGCAAAATTGAATGGAAGTGTCAGCTCTACTCATATCATTGTGGGGAAATTCTACTACCAGTCCTTCCTCACCTCAAACGAAATAGGGTGAATGCATCTCATATTTCTGATTTACTGGTAGTCTCGAAACTCTAATTACATATAAAAAATCAATATATATATATCCTAAGATGACATTGTTGCGGAGGCCCTTGTTTCGAATGAAAATGCACTATGAAGAGATTCGTTGGTTGATCTCACCAAAAGATGACTACTGAGTGACTTTGTGCTGCGGCCGTTTGGCTTTCATACGACCTTCTGGTTGACGCAGATAACAAGACACCCTTTCTCGTTGGGGGTGAAGATAGGCCAAGCTTTTGTTCGTTGTATGATGAAACAATGAGGACTGGAACTCATTCTTGCAAAAGCCTCAAGTTAACATTAAGTCAAGAAGACTGACCGGCTCTTTCCTACATTATATATACACACATAACGAGAGACATGACGGTTCAGCTACTAATCTCGACGCGTTAACCAACACACAACATTGCCTCGAGTCCCCATATGTCACAGAGCAGACGTACATTTCAATACTGATCAGGCATTTCCTATATCCCATTCTTTGGTGGGATCTTTGATGAATCAAGGTTATATTTGCCATAACAATCAACTAAATTACTTACTTTTCGTTTAACAGTAGGGTTTCGAGACTACCAGTAGGTCAGTAGTGATTAACTTGTGGAGATTCTACTCTACACTGTCATGATTCGAGTCCAGCTGGGGGTTTTGATGAGACCAGTTCGGGCCAGGTCGAAACTGCAGTCCAATCCAACCAGGATGAGAATATCTTCTGGGGAGCAAGACTAAGTAAATTTCAATGGAAACGTAAGGTCTATTCAAATGATTGCTCATATTCAACGTATTACTAAATCTATTCATTTTAATAGCATATCTTATCTTTCTTTTAACTTCAGACCTACCATTATCAGCAATCCTACAAGTTTGAGACCATTTGATCTTATGTCCAGTCTCCGGTTTGTATTCGGCCAATTTTGACCGTTGGATCTGGCTGCCTTTACAAGCATCTTTGTTATCCAATAATCATTTTTTATAATTATTCTGAGTTATGGCCGGCTTAAAGAATAGATGTTAACGCACATACACACACAGACACATTAGAGTATATGAAAATTAATCAAACCTTGATATATCCATCTATATCTAAATTTAGACTGATTGGGTATATATTTCCCGTGGTACTTAGTGTTAATTTGATACTTTTGCAAGAGTGAGTCCCATTTATCAGTACACAGGCAATGAGGCGTCATCTTTTAGTGAGAATGACCTTCTAATCTATTCATCATGCACTGTTATACGAAGTTAATGTCTTAACAAAAAATAATATAACGCGATATTGTGACTTTTCATTTCGAGGTAAAAGTTGCTAGGGCGGAAATCGTAGATTAATCGTACAGGAAACCGAAGGAAAAACACCTATGAGAACCAATTAACATGCCCTTTGAAATGGAAATTTGTATGACAATAAATCATTAACATAAACTTCGGAACCAAGTATTTTTTTATATTAACAAATTATGACGATAGCATGTTTAAAAAGTGGACTAGCTAACGCGCAGTTGAACTTCTAATAAAATCTTTGTTTACAACTGTAACAAATCTCCATATCGAGAGATTGTCGGGCAAAGAGATGCAAGGGTTGAGATCCCACAAGAAGCCGAAAAACAATTCCTTCAGACCAGTTGTCATTTAGTCGTAATGGCCAGGTCCAACAATGTTGGATTTTAGAGGCATCTTTTGGTTTTCACCTGTTGAGCTCATTTCCATGTCGAGGGATATTGTGTACGATGACTAGATTCAAAGTTCGATCCCACCACAAGACGACCGCGGCTTCCTCCTAGCCAGTCGTCAACTGGACTTACTGGCACACATGCTGTCGATAAAAACGTGATAAGCCTTCTTCTGTCATATGACGGACATCATCACAACATGCAATCGTTCTTACAAACATGTTCAACTAGTCATAAAATCTCACCCGTCTATCCATAACTGCTCTATGTATATTCTAAATATGGGCGCCATGAAGAGGTATAAAGTGATTTGTATGGTTAAAGTGACTTGCCAACCTGTAAGTATACTATGAAATATACTTTCAGACCTGTACCTGTGTCGTGACACATACACCTTAGAAGTTATCTACAGGAGAATAGGTTAACTTATTGAAACTCCGAAACTCTGACCCTTATCCATCCTTCATACAAGTAAACATG